ATTCTTTAGATAATCAGATATTTTCTTTTCTTTCCCGTCAAAACCGATTACAGAATGCCAATAAGATAACATTAATCTCGAGCTTGATGCTGATAATATATGACAATTGAAGTGGGCAGTAAGCTTCTAACGGATACTTATATCTCTTACACCTGTACAAGTGTTACGTAACAAGCGAAGAAAAATGAATATGTGAAGATGCATCAAGTTTTGTTAGCGACAGAACGAGAATGAATCATCAGCTTCCGAGTGTTAAATGTATTCAAGACTCGCATCTTGCCGAATATCGAAAAAGCCTGTATTTTCGTTCATCAGTTGTCGAAAAAACACGTGACGAAAAGATATAGTAGACATGCTGATACTCGACATTCTCGAGGAATCGGATGTCCGATCACGATACATTATAGAATCACATCGAATCCGATTTGAGTACGATTTATACTATAGATAATTTTAAATTTGCAGTTAAAAGTTGTCAGTTATAATAAAAGATTCAGAGAATTCAGGGATCTTTCTGTCCGCATATGATTATGAGGAAGGTAATATTAAATATTCCATTATAATTGTGACAACTTAAGTTTTTGAATTATTTGGACTTATCAATAATAATTAAACCTGAATTGTAATTGATAAGAATATCTAAATATGACTCGACTTTGCGAAAGCAAAATAAAGTTCTATAATACATTAACATATTTTATTTATTACAATAATTTTAATATGTATATACGAAGCAGCAAAGGACGGATTATTATGCAGCAATGTTTTATATTTATTAGATCGATTTCATGGGATCGATAGAATGGGACGAGCGAGTGAGTAAATAAGGCGCAGACGATCATACATGAACAATGCAATCGAAATTATTTTCAACGACGGGAATGACGTCGTGAATGCAGGGAGACATATTTGCAAACCAAAAAGCCTCAAAGTATGATTTGCAAATATCCCCAATGTACGTCAGGAATAGCGATCAGTGACATAAATTACAGACAAGTATGCGAATTATCTGTATTGTCTTCTTTGTAACTTATGAAAAAAAAAAATTTTTTTTTTCAGCGATAGTTATAAAGAAGAAGAGACAAAGAATTAATTATCTCGCCAAAGTTAATAAAGTCGATATTTTGAATTGTATTAAATAACCTTGTATTTAACAATCAGAATATCGTTTCAGTAATTTTGATAAATAACATATTAACCTATTTATTAAGAAATAATTAATTTTAGTAATACGTTCATCCAGAAAATTTAATATCGTAATCGTTTAGGTTTTTATACCTAATTAAATTAATAATAATATAAATCAAGATTTAAGAATTGCAGAATTTTTGAGACATTATCAGCTATAATATTCTAAAATTTTATGTTCTAATTTCAATAGTAGATATTTCTGATATAGTTAATCATCGAATTATGTAATTCCGTAATCATTCACTATTATCTTTTATATATATCCTAGGACCTAATTAGTTTCCTCGTTTAGCTTTTATCTAGTTGGATCCTTTCTTGGAACACATAACAACTAATTATTAAATAAATCATCGATATACTGCTATAATTGTTAAATATAATACTAGTATGACTATATACCCTTTGCTCTTTTGGTTCGCGAGGTTTCTCTTGAGAGCATGCAAACGAGGCAGACTGTCATTAAGACGTTATTATGTCGTTCCTTATAAAGGTCGCCTTATAAAGTTAAATTAATTTGCCATGCAAATCAACCCGTAAATTCGGAACCATACAGAATCATGCGTTTGTCGCGTTTGTCTTTATGTAATAAATCGCTCGTCTCGTTCGACATAAAATTCAATCGAGAAAGCGGGCGAGCACGATCGTACGTTAATCTTTCACACGAGTGCTTATATGACTGTTGATAATGTGAAAATTCATCGACTGTCAAGATATTACATAGCACTACGATAATATATTAACTTTCTGACATAACTTACAAGCTTAGATCGATCAAAACGTAAAAAAAATGCATTTTTCCTAACGCGAGCGTGAAATGGGCCGCTTTTCGCGCTTGTTTTGAGTGAGCAAAACGATCCATTTCTCCACTAGTTGAAAAATGGAGCCATTTCTCGACTAGTGGAGAAATAAAATTGTAAAACAAGCGCGAAAAGCGGCCTGTTTCACGCTCTTGTTAGGAAAAATAGTATGAACAACTCGTGGGAAGAGTGGTCGAGCCCAAATGAGTGTGATGAACTTCACACTCATTCAGAATCGACCACTTTTCCCACTAGTTGTACAATATATCTACTATTTCTTAAATTTCTGATTAAAAAGTACATTTTTTTGCATATAATTTACTCTTTCTAAATTATTCCCTGGTAATAAAAAATATAAATTTTACGAATATACAAATAAGTAACTGCGCACTGTATCATGTATATAGCAAATTAAAAAGTTACAAAACAAAATATATCGCAAATATTTGTGGCAATACTATGTAACATATAAGTTTTCATAGTCACTATACTCACATTTTCTTTTACCAGAACTTTATAACTTCAATGTTTTCCGATAAAAGTTTTATAATTCTTTTTGCAGTTTTAGAAAATAAATGTAAGTCACCATGAAAACTGGAAGGGAAAAGAATTTAGTTGCGAACGTTTTAAACAGCCGTGTAAACGATAAAATCTTTAGCTCCGAACATTAAACACTATTTCATTTTTATATAGATAATTTTCGAACTGATACAATTACGATCATAAATTATACTTTGCAGTAGAAATTGTAGAATTTTTTTTATAATTGATAACATAAACTTTTATCTTTTATTGCATCTGACGACACACACTAGAACTAAAAAGGTTTAGTCATAAATGCATTAGATAGTCTTGAAAACAATAAAATCTTCAGTTTCATACATTAACCACGTTTCGTTTGTTAGTCGCTGGTTTCTACAATAGTCAGCATTATCGTCACGTGTGACACGTGAGTTTTCATACTTTCAATGTTATTTGTGCACAAACTTATCAGTTTCGAAGGTGGCCGTGCGCGATAATATTCAGCACATTATTTGCAAGTCAAATTGTCGTTATTAATAATAGAATAAACTTTTAAGTAATGTGAGACGTCAGCATTTAATATAATACACTTTATCTTAATCCTAGGGATAAAAACCTGTTCTCAGTTGTAATAACCCAATCATATTGTGTAATAGTTTCAATAAACTTTCATTTTACGCCAAATTCATTTTTTACCTGATATTATAAAATTTTTAGTGCATCTACGTAATACAACATTATAATAAAACGCAAATTTTACTGATAAGAGTTGATCTAGATTATGATATTTTATCACCGATGCAATAAAGATATTTTGTGACAAAATTGCGTTTAATTCTTAACGCCATTAATCATCATTGAGCATAGCGTATAGCTATAATGTATATATGTATAGTAACATAGCTCGAATGACAAATAAATAATGAAGTTAGATAATCGGTTAACATTTCTTGGTAAAAAAATCTCAGTTTTGCTTTGTATTACTTGCGTCCGCAAAAAAACAGAAAAGAGAGATGGGCTACGTATAAAATTGTAAAACTAAAGAAGCAATAAAACATTTAGCAAAACTTGTAGTATTTTGCTAAATTAATCGCGCTATAGTTCTTATGTCAGACATAATCGGATCATAAATATACACGTTGATATACGGTTTATATAGGATGAAAGATAAAACCACACAGGTTGCAGTAACATTTGAATAAAAACGCGACCGGTTTTTTTGGCGATGTCGTCGTAAAGAATTTTGAATGATTTCGAGAGAAGACGAGAGGCAAATTAATAATATTTAAAATATAGCAAAATGTAAAAAAAAATGTGACATGGTGTCCGATATTGTCGCGTTCATGGTGGGAATAAATCATCACCGAAATAGTTGGCCGCTAGAAAAAAACAACTATGCATTCATGAATAAATTTATCTATGAATAAAGAATTTTTGCACGGCAACGACACACAGGGTTATACATATGTACTTAGATAGAGCAAAAGCCAAGGCCTTATACGCTATTAAAATACATAATCGTAAATGCCGATATGTTATATGTCGAACAGATTGCGTTGTGTATATGTACATATATAGAAATATAATAAATACATATACGTTTATACATATATTGCATTTTTGCACGTTTTCAAATTTTTCGGCGAATAACTCATACAAATGTTTATATACGAAATTCTATTCATAACAATTCTTCTATATCGCGTAATTTTGCCATTGCCTTCTCTTTTTTTAATAATAGTTTAAGATCGAGCCAATTATTGTTACTAATTATAACATTTACGAGTCATTTCATAACAAAATATAAATATCGGCTAAGCCTTTTCTTTTATTAAAAAATATTAATATTCTAAACAAATTATTGCGTATATATTAAATATAACGATTTTTCTTATTTTTCAACACTCGATTTGAAAGAATAAAAATAGATTTATATCAAACTGCCCTAAAAGTCAAAACATTTTATAATCAAATATTTAGGACGGTGGCAATAAAGGATGAAATATCTCAAGACTTTCCTAAGGAAAGGCCAATTCCAAATTTATTATATAAATTAACGTCATTAAATTAACGATCCGGGATTCTGAAATATTCTCCATTTGAATGCGATTCATAGAGCATAATAAGCATCGCGAGATTGATACACATCTCATTATCATTCGCTATATATATATATATATATGCACGGTAAGGCTAAAGGTAAAATGCCAATAAAATTATAGTTTATCATATATATGACTGAAAAAGATTAAACCCTAATTAAGCTGAGAACGAGAAGATCCATTTAAGTTGTATTATCAAAATAATAAGAAAAACCACGATTAGATATGGGAATATACTCTCTCCGCGACATTCCGAACCAAGTTCGCGGCACGTTCGATTAAAATCCAAGCGTGACTGGATGCGGTCCTTATTCGCATATACCTATATCCGTTTGCCTTGTGTGATACACCCAGCGACTTTATCTCGTAATAAGACAACGAGACTGACCTTGGTACCGGCAAATCCATAATGGTAGTGCGATGATGTTGCGGGTGATGATGATGTTGCTGATGCGGATGATGCGACGCGTGGTTATCCGTGGCGATAATCCCTGGATGGAGAGTCTGTTGCTGCGGATGTTGCGAGGGCAAACCCCTCAAGTACGCTTGTTGCTGATGATGCTGCTGCTGCTGTTGCTGCTGCTGCCACATGCCGTACACTTCGAGGTACATTTATCGATAAATAAATATAATGGGGAAAGAGAGTTTCCTTCATCCGCCTGCCCGTACAAAGTACGTTCGTCCGTCGTCGTTGGCCATTGCAGGTTGCAAACTTTTCAATTAGTTCTCTCTCTTTCTTTCTCTCTCTCTATCCGCCAATAGTCTCGCAATTTTTTACGTCACGAAGGCAACGATGACTGTCGATATCGCGACTCTTGTCCTTATCCACGATTTATATTACTCAACAATCACTCGCGTTCGCGCCGGTAAACGTAGGTCGCAATTCGCAGCAGGTGTTCCCGCGGCGGGCGTTGCTCGCCATATTGGAGAACGGCAGCATTGCGTCCGGAGAGACGCGTCGCGTCGTCGTGGTCGCGCCGCCGATGTCTCTCCCCTCGGCGCCTTATCGCATACGGCGACTTGTTTGCCGGCCGAATTAAAATTAGCCGGTTAGCCGGCGATTAATCGCGCGGCTGCTCGATAGCTTATTCACGCGCGGCGATAATCCTCTAATCCTCCCCGGCCTTGCCTCTAACAAACGTTACACGAAGAGTTGTCGAGAGCTCGATCAATCGATCGATGGAGGAGCGTATACCCGGCGCCGAACGTTTTCCTGTATCGTTCCCGCGGGACCGCTCCTGTCGCGATATATCCGCGTTTCTATCCCGCAAACATCGACCGTGTGACGATCTTCTTCGACGTAATATACTCTCCACTTCCCTGCGGGATTTCGCGCACGAGTACTATTTCACTGTGTGAAACCCGCCAAACCGAGATTGTCACGTGGGCACTTTCGTGCGATTTTTATCAATCCCATGCATCGGAGTCTGTTGATGACAGTTCGACAAACACGCGCGCGCGCGCGCGCGCGGGCGCTCGCGCGATTATTGTCGCAATCGAGCGGGCTACGTCGTGCCGCGGCGCGACGCGACTTCCCGCCGCTCGTAAAATGTTCGCCGGAAGTGCGACCTTGACACCGTCTTTCAGATTAGAGATGAATCTTGAGGAACGCGATTGCGAAGTTTCTCGACGATCGCGATCCAGGGGTTCACAGTCGACGCGATTTCTCTTTTTCCTTCTCCGTCTCTCTCTTTCTTCCTATCCTTCTTCCTCCGGTATTGCGCAGAGATCGAAGTGCGCTACGTATAGTGACACGAGGCGCGAACTCGCCGCCGGTGGCCTTGACACGGTATGCCGAACGGCGGTCCACCGTATTAGCGCGCGGTCGTGCGGAGCGGTGATTTATTCCGAACACCGTCCCGATCACAGCGGCCGCTGCTGCTATTTCGCGCAATTTACCGCGCGACGCACCGTGCGTTTTAAAAGGTCAACCGCTACCGGCGCGGCGCGACGCGACACGACACAACGCCGCCGTTCCGTTCCGTTCCGCTCCGCTTGTCGGCGTCACCTGTTTACTATACTCGCCGGTCGCCGGTCGTCACAACGTCGCAAGTGTCGCAACAAGCAGCAGGAGACGTGGTCACGCACGCGTTCGCGTGCACGCGCGCGCGGGAAATGTGTTTTTCCACACAAAATCTTACTACGACGCGCCGTCTACACGACGCGACGACACGGCGACATTGCGCACCTTACGCGCGAGTTATTCGCGAAAACTGTCAGACGGCGGAACGTCACACTCGGCGGCCCTGCCCGGGGAGACCGGGATCGAATGGAGCGAACGAGAGGAGAGAGCGGCTGAGAAAGAGAGAAGAGCGTACCCGGCGAGACCACAACTTACGGCAGTCGGACGTGAACTGCTCGGCGAGCGCTACCCCCACTCCCGGTAACCAATCAGCGCTTTCCCCCCACGCGGCGACGACCAATCGTTCCCCTCGTCTTCTCCCGCCGCTCGTCTATTCGTGCGCCTGGCGTGATAACGATACGTTATTAAGGAACGCTCACACCGACAGGCCGGCGATAAGAAAGAAGTTTCAAGGCACATGCGAAGCCGACATATTTGTTTCTTCCTTTCTCTTTCGTCGCGTGAATGCTTACGCGCTCGCACAAGGTGCTTTTTAAACCACGCTCACAATAGACGAGTCGTTTTCTTTCGATGTATGTATTTTAGATGGATAAAATATGAGGATATCAATACATGATTTCATAATGACTTTATAATACTATTAATTATGTAGATTATAAGCTAAATGTGTAAACAATTACATAGATGATTAGTAAAATTGTCGTTACCTCGTGGTTAATTACGATGTAATCACATATTATGAAAATCTTATATATATATATATATATATATATAAGATAAATATATTCCCCCCTATATTGTATACTAATTTACTATAATTAAACGTGACAGCGCAAGTCTATTTTTACCGCCTGCTGCTCCTAAACAAAAGTTTATTATTAGGAGAATTGCGTGTTTTCAACAACAAGACTCCGATCTTTCGAATGATGAGCTACTGTGGGGATTTTATGTGACTTATGACATATAATGTCGTGAACAAGAAGCTATTTTTTTTTTAGCAATCTAAACCGATGTCACATCAGAATGCGAAGGTCGATGTTTGAATTTGAAACACAGACTGCGAAGTTTGCTAAATTTCTACCAATGCAAAAGAATATCGATAATGATTTTCGCTACAAGTATTTCGGTATAACAAGTGAAGCATTGAATATCCGGATAACCGATCTACACCCAATGCGACGATCGGATATTCGCGATTTTTTTTCAACTGCATTGGCCTCGCGTTTCAAACGAATGGGTAAACAAAATTCGCAAAAGTAATCCTCGAAACGGTAATCGCGGTAACCGCGCGCGCACTTCGTAACATCCAATAAGGTTTTATTTCACGTGACATTTCGTGTATTTGCGTCGCTGCGAATATCAATAATTTGTATCTTCGTAGCATTGCCCGATTTCGCTCTCCTTTTTTTTTATCATTCAAAGTAAATATTCATTTATAACCCTTTTATAGCGATATACAGTCGAAGATCGCGCGCACGAGATATCGAGTTACTTTTCTTATATTTGTCCGCAAATAAGATATGTGTATAGCCTGTGATTTCGATCTATCGTACAATTTTATATGCGGATTGGAGTAAAATGTCACGAAAATATCGAATGACATAATAACTTGTCCATTTTGTGTGCATGCAGATATTCTATTGATCTACCATTCTAATTCTAGATAGAAGTAGGAAATCCGTTATCATAATTGTAAAAAATATTAAATAAGAATTACTAAGATACCTATTTTCACGTGATATTACGTTGCAATCTAACAGAAACATTTCGTTTTTCCGCATTTAAATTATTCAATTATATTATGAGTAATTTCAGTAATGTAAAAAACCGACAACGGAAAATAATTAGATATTCGGGGGGGGGGGGGGGGAGAATCATAAAAGAACTTTTATTATTACAATTAAAGTATAATTATTGATAAAAAAATTATATTGGCATGTACATATGTACATGTCAACTTTTAGATTATATTTCTAAGTACTTTAATCGCGATAGAAATTGCATGAAATAATTGTACAATAACATTTCAAGAGACTTGTAACTTGCGCAATGTTTTCGTGAAAAGAGAAAAAAAGTAGCTAACAAACTGAATAAAAAATTTTCGTCGATTTTAAAGCTGTGTTTACATGGTAGGTGTAAAAGCTTTGACATCAAACAATTCGAAGAGCGAAAACCCTTTTGATCAGCCACGCTCTAACACCAACAAGTTGATAATACCGGTTAGATGAAAGTACAGTTATAATGCGCCACACTTACGGCTGCTTAATTAATCAAAGAACAGCGATCATTCAGGGAGTTTGTATCCGTAAGCAGATTGAATTAACAGTAAACTCCACGGTACTTTGGTAGCATAGCTTCATCTGCATTGAAATACAACAGCTCTTCACGTTCTTAAATCAAAACGCTCACACGCGGAACGCTTTGTGCACAAACGTCGAATTTATTATAGGTATAGAGAGCGATTTGCATGCGTAATTTTTCTTGAATAAATTAACATTGAGTAAAGCTTAGTTTAAACTTTCAATGTGCGATTACCGCTTTAAAATTTAGTTAACCATGTGGTCATTTGATTAATTTTATCAAGTCTTTTCTCCTCGCGCTGCAAGCTTAGCGAATAGTATCGTATTTGTATAACTATTAAGGAGCGTATCATCGTAAAACAATTTCTTTCCGATACGTAAAATACTCAATTATTACGTTCATGTACATGTAAATTAAGAAAGATTCATAAATACTATTTAGGCGACTAATAAAGATCTATATCTCATTTAACAATTTAATAATCTGTAATAACAATTAACATATAATACTCTAATGGAAGAAATAAAATTTAAAATGTATTCCTATCACGAGTATTACACTTATCGCATCACTACATGGAGAAGAAATTATTATAAGAAGATATTATTATGCCAATCTAAAGTACAACAATCTTGACTTACCCATATGAAATGGTGTTTTCAGGCACGGACGTGCTACCCGAAGAGGACGTGCCGGAGTCATCTTCGTCCACGTCATCCTTCATCTTTCAGACCTTTTCTGCACATCAAGACGATGCTTTGTTAGTTTAGAACTGCTACATTATTGATAAGATCGTGTAAGCGCGCGAAATGTAATAACTCAACTTTCGTATACGAGTAATTACATTTCACAGAGACTGAGTTATAAGAGTATCTAACTTAATTTATATCGTATTAATTCAATCTCCTTTTCACATTTTGCACGAGCAATTTTTAAATATTAGGATGCCCACTGCATTGCAAGATATACATATATGTCACAAGCATATTGCAATGCAAGATACTTGTACCCATAACAAAAAAAGTTTCAAAAATAAAACGTAAATTGAAAAATAAAGTTACATTTGACAATTCTATAAATGTTTTTATTCTATAAATTTCATTTGGCTGATGATAAAAAGTCGGTGTATAGTTGAAACGTTCCATTTTGGAGTATTGAAGTTAATATTAATTTAATTTTGTAACATCTATTTTTTGCTCATTTATTAGTCCATAATCACTTTACAATAAATTTTTTTATTACAGTGCAAAGTTACACAGTTTTGTCGCAATGCGTAACTTTATTCTACAATGAATAAATCGCGCAAAAAATTCAAGGTTTTCTATATTTAAACGGTTGCTATTGGAGAAAGTAAAGCAAAGTTCATTTGCAAAATACTTATTTAACCGTACATTTTAAACATTCATTTGATGAATTTCTGATTTTTTTCACACACGCGATACAATTGAATTGGCGCTGTAGAAGGATAAGTAAAACTGATTGATTCCTCAAGCATTGAAGAGAGAGGGAGAGAGAATAATATTCTAATACTTATACATATTCTACTTCAAGGAGTCGATGCATAAACGATAAATATATCGTCATCAGTCGAATGATATAATATAACTGATCAATCATGATGCGTATAGCTTTAAATTGGTTTTCAATATGGTAGGGTTGTTAGATAATATACTAGAAGAAGAGCATAAGAGAGATTTTCGGTAATTTATCACATAAATGATATTAAGATGTTTTAATCGTAATTATATGCACGTAAAATATAACACGTAAATGTGAACGTCATATCACAGTTCCATCAATTATTTATTGACAATTCTAGTGTCATTTAAATTTTATTCAAATATGTTTGTTTTATAAGTTGAGTAGATCTAATTTTAGAACAAGGTCTTTTACATATTTATTAAAACTTGTTGTAAATATGTAAATATAGTAGATAAAGGATAAAGATGTAGAAATAGAACCTTTTTTTAAAGTTAGAAACGAACAAGACAGGGAAGTACGCAGCAACTTCTCTCTCAAAGTGTATACTACTCATATTTTCTACTTCCATATTAATTGATAATATCTTTTATTTTATATCTATATTCGTTTCCATATCTTTATTTTTTCTCTTTTGTTATTTAAAATATATTCTTTAGTTAAAAATAAATTGCGTCAAGCCTTAATCGATTATTTACTTACAATTTTATAGAATATAATTGTTTTATAGAGTAAATAAAAATTGCGTAAATAAAAAGTACACTAAAAATTCCCAGATTGCATTGTATCTATTTTAACAAGTTGGGATATCCGATTAATTTTACTATCGAAATAAATGACAAATCGAACGCCAGTTAAAATTGAAAACTCGCCAGGTATGAGCTATTGACTTTCACCTTGGATATAATCTCACACCCAGAATGAACTTCACAAATTCGTTAGTTCTGACAAGCAGAATTTATCGTTGATCGCGCTTCGTTGCTCTACGGGCGCGCGCGAGCGTGAACGCGAGAATTTGCGATTTGTCGTAGCGCACAAAACGCCGTGCGCCGCGCCGGCCCGATGCCGAGTTGACCGACATTCGGCGAACGGCGAACCGACGAAATCAAAACGTTTCAGACCGCGGATAAACCACGCCGTGCAGAACGGTCTCAAGTGCACTGATAACAGCGCTAATTCGTGACATTCGCGCGGCGCTGCCCAGGATCAAGGGTAGTCTTTGTTCATGGTCACGCAACTATACAGATTATAGCGTGTACGTGATCTCAAGCGTACCGCACGCGAGAGATCCGCGTTTTTAGCAGCAGCAGCAATCATTGCGATGCTGCAGTAATTTTGTTGGATTGATGGGCTCCGTCATATCGAGGTTTTGAATAGTTTGATATTTGCGGAGAATTGAAGGATCGATTAAGCGATCGAGCCTTTGAGAGAACATTTAGATGCATTTTTCAAGAAGATTTAGCTACCAATTCATGATATGTAAAAGTACGTAAAACACAT